TTAGGGTGACCATACGTGCCATTTTCCCAGGACGCGTCCTGGCCAGGATTTCTATATTGCCTAAAATATCTAGGTTTTGGCTTTGTTTGCGTGTGCAGACCGATGACATCAAAATACCATAGTTCCTTATGCTTTCAAAATGCTTGTGTGTAAGTTTAACTGAATGAAAGGGAAGCGGTATTAGAAAAAGCTGTATCTTCAATAGCAAGCTATATTAATATGAATTACTTTAAACATGATTACATCCTACCAGTATTGTTGTAAGAAATTTAAAGGCCTCTTCACACCAAGGATGAGACCACACCGCAGCTATTTATCACCTGGAATCACTTTCAGAACAAATTTCTCCAACTGATTAACAATAAAAACAACGACAGCCAAACAGAATCCACCCAATTTAAAGAGCTTGAGCATTTACATGGCAGACAACATAAACGCAGCGCTCGCTTATAACAAACAGAACGTTATCGTCTGTTGGTGTGGATGCTAAAATAGTTCTCATTATAGTTATTGTTCTTGGTGTGAGCAGCCTTAAAGGGATAGTTCATCCAAAAATGAAAATTTTATGTTTATCTGCTTACCCCCAGGGCATCCAAGATGTAGGTGACTTTGTTTCTTCAGTAGAACACGTATGATGATTTTTAACTTTAACCGTTGCAGTCTATCAGTCGTATAATGCATGGCAATGGTAACAAAATCTATGAGAGTAAAAAAAACATGCACAGAAAAATCCAAATTAAACCCTGCGGCTCGTGACGACACACTGATGTCCTAAGACACGAAACGATCGGTTTGTGCCAGAAACCGAACAGTATTTATATAATTTTTTACCTCTAATACACCACTATGTCCAACTGTCTTTGGGCGCGCGCACGGCATCTGGTCTGTGAGGTGTGTACGCGCTCTGGCAGATAATGAAAACCCAAAATTCAGTGTCTCAGAAAATTAGAATATTGTGAAAAAGTTCAATATTGGAAAGTCGTGGTGTCACAGCCTAATCAGCTAATTACCTCAAAACACCTGCAAAGGTTTCCTGAGCCTTTAAATGGTCTCTCAGTCTGGGTCAGTAGGTTACACAATCATGGGGAAGACTGCTGACTTGACAGATGTCCAGAAGTCATTGACACCCTCCACAAAGAGGGTAAGCCACAAACGTTCATTGCTAAAGAAGCTGGTTGTTCACAGAGTGCTGTATCCAAGCATATTCATAGAAAGTTGAGTGGAAGGAAAAAGTGTGGTAGGAAAAGGTGCACCAGCAAGAATTTGGGGGAGCTTCACAAGGAGTGGACTGAGGCTGGCGTCAGCGCATCAAGAGCCACTACGCACAGACGAATCCTAGATATGGGCTACAAATGTCGCATTCCTCGTGTCAAGCCACTCCTGAACCAGAGACAACGTCAGGAGCGTCTTACCTGGACTGTGGAGAAAAAGAACTGGACTGTTGCTCAGTGGTCCAAAGTCCTCTTTTCAGATGAAAGTACATTTTGCATTTCATTTGGAAATCAAGGTCCCAGAGTCTGGAGGAAGAGTGGAGAGGCACAGAAACCATGTATCTGTATTTTGTCTCACCTTGCGAGCTAAGTGTATTGTCACACCCCTAGTGTCTATGAGCATGATAAAGCTCATAATTGTCCAAGTGTATGATATAGCTTTCATTCTTCAAGTCAATCATATATTCATGAAAAAAAATCTGTTTGAATAAGGAAAGCGATAACTTTCAAGTGTTAAAGTTGCCACAGTCATTGCATTCTTTGCATGTGCTGCACTTTATTTGTACGATTTTGTTTTATTAGTTTATTTATTAGAATTTGAAAGATAATAACAATATTGATGGTAAGCAAGATCTGATTTTAGTCCTTGAAAACCAAAAAAGTAGTGCAAGTCCTTGAAAGTCCTGGAATTTTATTTTGCAGTATCTGTACGAACCCTGTTTAAGTTACCAGTTCTTGGAGCATTTTAATGTTTCTGTTCTTGTTAATTGAACTGAACTGTAATTTTCTGTAGTAAACTGTCTTTGTATATTTCCTATTTTATATTCATTTCCTAGTATTTAATGTACCATTATTTCTTTTGAACAAAACAATTTCAGAAATTTCATGTTTTAGATTGTAGGTCATCTTGTACCCTGTCAAGGACAAAGCTAACCAGCAAAACTTGTGTTTGCACCATATTGTAATGAGTAAACTTTCTTGGTATTGCTGTTTCAAATATCCCACCATAATCTGTATCCTGAGCCTGTCAAGGGCTAATGGCAATGGCAGATACGTTACTAGTTAATTTAAAGGAAAATCATTTTCAAATAATGTTCTTTTTTTTGTCTGCCAAATAACCCTGTGTATGTGTCTGCCCCCGCAACCCCCGGAAAAAAGTTCAGGCTCAGGATTTTTTTTTTTGCTTTAACCCCTGGACCTGGCATTGTCTTGATCTAATAACCATGGACTTCCCATTAAAGACGTCATTTTGATGGCAGTATATGTCTTCGTACAATCCCAGTATATGCCTCCATGTCAATGGTACCTTCACACATATGCTCTGCTATACCACGACAGACGTTTGCTTTTGCATCTGTTGTTGATGAAAGTCTGGATGGATGCTTCGGTCTTTGGGACTGACTGAGAACTCAATGTACATTTTTCCCAGAAACAAGTTGAAATGTGGACTTTCTGACTATTTGAGATGAGCTCTGGCCCAGAGAACCCTGCAGCATCACTGCATAGAATGAATGTATAGCTTTCTCCTAGAGCAGGGGTAGGCAAGTTCGGTCCTAGAGAACCGCAGTCCTGCAGGGTTCAGCTCCAACCCTGAAAAAAAAACTCACCTGCCTATAGCCTTAGTAATCCTGAAGACATTGATTAGCTTGTTCAGGTGTGTTTGATTAGGGTTGGAGCTGAACTCTGCAGGAGAACTCTCTAGGACCGAACTTGCCTACTCCGCCCTAGAGTAACAGAGATTCAAGTTGCATTTATTGATACAGTGGCAGATTCTGTTAAGTGACAGTGGTTTTTTGAAGAACTCCTGAGCCCATGTGGCTATATTTAACACATATTTATTGAGATTAATATCAAATCTTCAACTGAGCATGACGGTTTCTTATGAAATGCCATCTGAGGGCTCAAAGGTCATGCACATTCAACTGAGGTTTCCTGCCTTGCCCTACTCAGACTGAGATTTCTCTGCGTTCCCTGAATCTTTTCACAATATTACGTATGGTAGTAGGCGAAAGACCTAAATTCTTTGCAATTTTGCATTGAGAAATGTGATTTTTGATTTGTTTGACAGTTCTCTCTTGAAATTTGGCACAAAGTGATGAACCATGATCCAGCTCTGCTTGCAAAGACTGAGACGCTCCTTTTATACACAAACATGATACTTAGTATCATGATTATGGTACTTAAAAAAATAAACATGGTACTGCTATGGTTTTTTTTGGACATGTCACTATGCTAGTATAGTATAACAGTAACTTATAAACAGTAACTTAAACAACACTCGCA